AACATTACATAAATTCCAAATTGAATCTGCTCACACCTTAATGAACTCCTAAAAATTTAGGAATATTCAAAAACCAGAAAAGGTAAACGAAAAACACTTACATACGATAAGCTTTCCATCTTCAAGCATCTGTCAAAAGGGCATGATTAGGCCATCTAAAATAGAACCGGTCCTCAATTCCTACAATTCTAACAACACGTACCAAAAAATAAAAAATTAGATATAAAAGATAATCATAAATGAACTAACATCAATTGCGAAAAATCAAAAATTACAACACTTATTCAAGCAAAAAATCAAACAGTTAGTAGGCAAATGAAAATCCAAGATTAACTGTAAAAGGTAGAAATTGACACATTCGAAGGATTATGAAGCCATGGAATTCAATACTAACAAAAGAAAATAGGAAGAGGTTTCATCGTATACGTATGTAACGCCCGTAGATCCGGGCTAGTCAATTTAGAGATAATAGGGGTCGAAAACGACTTTTTGACAAAAGATTATTTAGAATAAATAATCTTAACCAAGTTGTAGAATACGTCTCAAGGTTTCCGTACATATAAAGAACGTTGAAATCCGAGTTATAACGAAGAAGTTATGGTCCATCGAAGTTTTACGGCAAAACCGGCACGACACCGGGAGACGTAAATAGTGAATTTACGATGGAGGACTTTTTAGCCTTAGAAATCTAAATAAAAGTTGTAGTATACGTTAAACCGAGAACATACAAAAAACGAACGCCCAAATCTGACTTCGTATGAGGAAGTTATGAATTTTTTAAGATTTCGCTTAACAGTGCACAGCCCGAAACTCGAATTTTAGATCGAGCGGTTTTTGGCCTACGTGACCTAAATGAGAATTGAATATCTCATTAATAGGAACTCAACGGTAAAAAGACAGACGAAAACAGAGTCCGTATGTAGAAGTTATGAATTTTACGCGGACATTTAACGGTATAATCTCCTCGTACTGTTAAATTAAAGATCGGTCGAGAAATAGCCGACGGAGTCAAAATGAAAGTTGTAGATCTTATTTTTACCTATGCGTGGATATAGAGAACGTAAAAAACGGAGGTCGTATGTGAAAGTTACGGATTTTAGAAGTTGGAAGTGTGTTGTGTGAAAATGGGTGATGTGGCACAATTTTGGCCATTGCTTTCTCCCCAAGTCTTGCCACTAGATGGTGAAATGTGGCACCAAGTTCAGCCATTTTTCACCCTATAAATAGAACCTTTCCCACCCTCATTTTCTTCACACCTTTCCCATTCTTTCTTCTCTTTACTCTCTCTCTAGAACCTCTCTCTAGCCTCGAAACCCCCTGAAAAGCCTAGGGAACCTACATAACACGAGGCGGAAGCCCCGGAGTGCTCGACGGCTCCAAGAAGAAGAGCTTTTCGGCTCGGGAACGCTGCTCCAAGCAAAACCCGGTTTTCTATAAAACCCGCTGTAAGTGAGCTACACCTACGCTATTTTTAATATAGCTTTTATTTAATTATAGTAACGTTATTAGGAACTTATAATAAGTACTTGAGCTATTATTATGGGTTATATAAGTATTTTTTTAACGCTTATATAATAGTAATAATAGCTAGACTATTAATTAGTTTCGGCGAATAATATATTAAACTCTAGTGGTAATAATACTAGGTTTCGTCGAAGGAAATTATTTTTAAGAAGCGAAGCGCTGTCTGAGTTCGGAATCACCACCTTTTCAAGTGAGTGCATGATCCCTTTCAGCTTACACATAGATATGAAATATTTTATATAAATTACGTGTTGTGTGTGCATATTATCTGTATACTTGCTATCTATGTTGGATGAACGATTTTATACATGTTTTAAATGATTTAAACTGTATATGTATTTTATATCTACAAAATATGTTGGGTAAAACATGGGTAGATGAATAGTTGCTGTGTGACAAAATAAAATAATGAGAGGCCTCGATATAGATGTTATTGATGATCCAGTCATCTAGCGGAGTATAGATGACGACTACGGACTATTCTAGACAGTCCAGTGGAACGCTAGCAGGCTCGCAACCTGCAGGTGTTTATTTGAACTGTGTGCTCACCAGCAGTACTCCATCCCCCACATGGTTGCCTTATTTGACATGAATTGCTGAGGAACCCCCGAAGCATGTGTTGTCACCCCGATGAAAGTCCCTTAGACTAGGTCCCTTGTGTTAGATGTTTTAAGGACGTAAAGTGAGGATAACGGGAACGGGTAATCGTGTTTGTTTGGTTTGATAAAGTTAATAAACTTATTTATTATGGGTTGAAAACCCTATGTACTCACCAAGTTTCCCAACCTGACCCACTCAGTTTATTTATATCACAGGTGTTGATATGAAGTCACATTACACTGAGAGATTAAATAGATATAAATCACTAGTGATAATGAATGTAAGTTCTGTTTATGCTTATGTTTCTGTATTGACGATGACATCCCAAATGTTTTAAAATGAATAAAAATACTTTTCTTCGGAAATGCTTTGATAACGTATTTATCATGTTTTACTGGGAACAAATTCCGCAACATTTATATTAAAAAGAGGCACTCTGATTTTTATAAAGCATAAACAAAATCGGTCTTTTCTGGCCGTGAAAATGGGGATGTCACAACGTAAGATGTGGATTTCCAGTGAGAGGAGTTTGACGATGGTTACCAGTGTGGATAGGAGATTAGGGTTTTAAAAAGAGCATAAGTTACAATTAGAAGCACATATTATACTAGGGATGAGATTTAGAACCAGAAAACCGGACCGGAACCAGAATCGGACCGGAACCGAAACCGTTAGAACCGGAATATATAGAACCGGTTCTGGTTCCGAGTTTAAAAATTGGCTTTATCCGGGTTCCGGGTAATCCGGGTTTGGGTCCATCGGGTCCGGGTAAACCGGGTCTAAAAACCAGAACCGGTGTTAGGAACCGGAACCGGTTTTTATGAAACATTTAAAAGATGCATATCTCATTCGTTTCAACTCCAATTGACATGCGGTTTTTTCCAACATGTAGTTTAGAGCTTGTACATGATTTTAAACTATAAATTTGCTATATTTAGTTTTATATTCATTGACTTATAGTTCCCCAAATTCGAGATATCAAAGCTGAAAGTTTTTAGTTTTTCTGTTTTTTTGTATTGAAAGTTTTAAAACATGCATATCTAATTCGTTTGAAGTCGAATTGACATGTGGTTTTTTCCAACTTGTAGTTTAGAGTTTGTATATGAGTTTAGACTATAATTTTGTCATTTTTGGTTTTAATATTCAATGATTTACAGTCCCCCGAAGTCGGGATATAAAAACTGGAAATTTTCAACTTTTCAGCTATTTGTTTTTGTACTTTGTATTCTGTGAAAATATTAACACATGCATATCTCATTCGTTTAAAGTCGGATTGACATGCGGTTTTTTCCATAGTGTATTTTAGAGTTTGTACATGATTTTAGACTATAATTTTATCAATTTTGGTTTCATATTCAATGAGTTACAGTCCCCCATAGTCGGGATATCGATATGAAAATTTTCAAAGTTCAACCCACTAAGTAGTAAGTAATTACCAAAACATTCCGGTTTTTCCAGATTTTCCGGTTCTAAACCCACTTTATCCGGTTCCAAGCTACCCACTTTGATGTTTCCGGGTTTTCTAGTTCTAGAACCACTTTAGCCGGTACCATACCCGGAACCGAACCGGAACCGGTTCCTATATACCGGTCCGGTTTCCAGTTCTATAAAATCCCGTTAACCGGTTCCGGGTTTTCCGGGTCCGGGTCCATCCGGTCCGGGTTTGGACTCACTTTCATCCCTATATTATACCGTGTTTGACTAAACTTTGGTGAAAGGTGACATCAGCAATTTGATCTAACGGTGGAAAATATAAGATTGAAATACAATTAAGGGTCTTGATTGTTTTATTGGTGAATTAAGGGTTTTCTTTTAATAATATTTAGAGATATCTTAATTATGCTAGGTAAAGTATTTTTATATCTTCATGTTAGACATTAGATATGTATAAATATCATAATACAAGCAACCTAATGTGCTATATAAAATTGGGCGTAACATGGGTCTCATTGTAATCATTAACACATTAACATCCATGCAGTTGTCTGAAATTAATCGGACCATGAAATAAAAATAATAAAAACCTTTTGGTGAATATATGGGCATAAAACAAATTTGAAAAACCAAAACTGAGAATAAAGTTTGATAGGATTAATCTATCAATCATTATAGAACAACGTTATAAAAAAAAAGATGCTATGATTGTTATCTACATCAACATTGTCAGTGTTATATTACAAGTGTACATGATAGAGGACTATAATTGTGAACTGAAAAAAAGTAGAATTGATATAATTTCTTTTTTCTTTTTATTTTCAATATTTCATGGCTCCAAAAATCACAAATCGTAATCAATTTTCCATGAAAATCCCGACCTCTATTTTTCACTCAAACAAAAAGGTGGCGGGGTGCCAATCGCTATATTTCCTCCGATTCTACGGTGAATAATCATTCCACCCTCTTCAACTTCCTAAATTTCTCATAATATTTGATTAACATCGCGTGTTATGTTGTTAATCAATGTAATCTACATCCAATTTTGATTGTGATTGCATTTAGGTTGTCCAAAAATTTCATCTTTTTCCCTTCTTGTTTCTGATTGCGTTATGTTAATTTGAAATCAACGATAGCATTCGAATTCATTGCGTATGAACCCGTAGAAGATCTTGCTATCTCGATCGATGCATCATCACTAATTTCACGTTTCTTATAATTGATTAATCAACCATGCTTTCTCAATTTCTCTCAGATTGATCTGATTATGTGTATTGCTGGATTTTGATAGTTTTACTTTCTGATTCATGCGATATTCATGATCGAAGAAGAGATTATAAATTTGTTCATTTTCGCTCTGGAAATTAATTATTTGTTCATGATCTTAATTCGATTTCTGTTGGCTGTCTATTTTGAATTGACAGTAGTACTTGTGGTAGGAGATGTCCGGTGGGTTTGGGGAAGAGGCAAGCAGGCCAACAACCCAAAGCTCATCGTTCTCAAACAACAATGGCGATGGTGGAAACTTCGAGTGCAGCATATGCTTGGATTTAGCTCAAGATCCGGTGGTTACTTTATGTGGTCATCTCTTTTGCTGGCCTTGCATCTACAAATGGCTTCACATGCCTTCTCGTTCACAAGAATGCCCGATGTGTAAGGCCTCCATTGAAGAACAGAAATTGGTCCCTTTATACGGAAGAGGGAAGAATCCAGACGCGAGGTCTGAATCTGAATCAGTTCCAAATCGTCCCTCCGGTCAACGGCCGGAGACTTCCCGTCAACGAAATCGGAATGCGTATCATCATGTGCAACATCAACATGGATCTGGAATAATCGGTGGTTTTGGACCTGCGTTTACTGCGACTTATGGGAATTTTACGTTTTCATTTGGGGGTTTTATTCCGTCGATTTTCAGTCTTCATATGCATGCATTCAATGGACCGCATATGTATGGAAATGGAGCTCATGAACTCCGTCACCACAGAGATCATCATCATGAAGTATCGCCACTTATTGTAATTGGTCTCCTGTTTCTATTTGCTCTACTTTGGGAACCCAATATCTGATTTTACATTTTTGTCCTTGAAAATATTTTACTATCTTCGATTGTCACTAGCTCAGGTACAAGGGTATGTATGTAACTTGACTCTCGTAGCTGTGTTTGATAATTCAAGAATTGTTTATACATAGGAAAACATCAAATTGCTTTTCTTCCTCTTAATTATGAACCTTCTGTTCTCACTTCTAATTTATCTTTTGGGTTTTTCCATATACAAATCTTGTGTATATGGTAAACAGAATCAGTCCTTGCAGTTTCCGTTTTAGCTCCTAAGTCCTTGTAACAACCAAAGTTCCACCCCACTACTTCAACTATTAGTAACGTTATACATTCTTCCTTTTCTACTTATTCTTTACAAATTAACCAAGTTTCGACAAAAATTGCCAAACTGCCTGTTTAGGTTGCAGTTATCTGGCAATAACTTTTGACATCTGAAAATCAAGCTGCTACGGCTACCTGATAAAAAAACATTTGGTAAACAAAAAAAATATTTTTACATCTTTAATCATAGAATTGATAAACAAATTATTAATAACTTTACCAATTATAAGATTTTAGTTTGATTAATATTAAAGTATATAAACATCGATCGTTAAATAATTAACTATCTTTGTATAATTATCTTATTATCAGTTTCTAATTCTACAAAAATATTTGAAATTTAATTGAATTTTACGAACATGATTAATATGAGATGTTGAGTTAATTAGAGAGAGAATGGCGGGTTTGGCCGTTGGGGAATGAATGTGAGGAATGAGTTTTTTTTATTTTATTTTATTTTATTTATTTATTTATTTATTATTTTTTAAATAGTTAATGAAATGTACATTTGGATTTTGTTTTTAAAATGAAACTCCATAATCTTGTTGGGACGCTAGTTTGAATATCTTTAAATAATAATAATAAAAAAACTATTATAATTTATATTTTAGCTTGTCAAATATGACAACTTAAAAAAACTTTAGTAATAAACTAGCAGCAATGTATCAAGCATAAAGTTGTTTTATTCATGCTAATTACAAAATGTGTTTCCAAAGAAAATATGAACTCCATAAAGTTGACACATAACATTTGTCTACACTAAGAACTTTTTGCTTGGACTGCGATCTCCCACGGCTATATTCTATTCTTGTCAAGGGAAATAGGTAAAAGAAGAGAAGAGATAAATATGTTAAGTTTGTTTCCATCAAACAAGAGATTCTCGATGTAGATGATATGTTCAATAAGGTTTAAATTTTATTTACTCCAAACCAATTAACCTACATATAAATTGAAACAAATTTTCAAACACCCGAAGTATGTTCTTCATTAAGTGATCAAACATTTCATTCCGTTTTTGGAACTGTAATTGTCGTTATCATTTCATCAATGAGAATTACATTCTCTTGAATCCGATTGTTTTGAATATTTAGTACACTATCTTATAAAAAAATTTCAAACACCCTCTTGGGACCAACACATATGATGTTTCTTGAACGTGTTGGTGTTAAGAAGCTCAAAGTTTGTTGGAAGAATACTTTTTTTGCATGACATTTTGAGGGTCAAGCAAGTTTAGGAAAGTCATTGACAAGATGCTAGTATTTTCGTTTTTTAGGAATTAACGTGGTAAAAAATAGTACAATACATGTTCCAAGAGTTTCTATGAAATCTTTTGACATATAAGGTACATCTCAATTAACATTAGTGGTGGACATCTCCCAAGAACGTTAGTACCAACACACCTCCAAATGTCTGTTTTTGATGTTTTACTTCTATTATTAAGATTCTTTTTATGTGAGAAGTACCTAAGCTACATAATCAAATCAAATTTGTGACTTTGACCTCTTTTGTTTATTATAGCTCTTTCATCCGTGATATTTTGAAGAATGTACCAAGTACATTGGTTGCTATCTATGTTGGTTTCATGGAAGTGATTACATACTATGTGTAGTGTTTGTTTGTTTGCGAAAGTAATTCACAATTTTCAATCAAAGGGATAAGTATAATGTTTTTTATTTCTTATTTTTGGAAATTATCATCCTACTTTAATCTAATGAGAGGCTAGATTATTGTGAATGTGTTGGGCAAAACTAGTTGTAGTTGTAGTCGGTAGAGTAGTTTTCATATATGTGTAAGCGGTCAACAAAAGTATTTAAGTTTTTTAAAGATGTAAAATAACATAAAATATACAAGCTTCTAAAAGTTCTCAAAAACTATTTAAAGTAGTTTTTTTGAATCTTTTTGTTTAAACTAAAAGATTAAGCTCGTACACCCCAAGAAACTTTTTCTTTAATTCAATTTTTTTCTTAAAAGCTAAAGATAAAAGTTTCTATAAGCTTTCAAAAGTTGTTTGCCACAAAAAGGATGTATGTGATATGAAAAAAGTAATTGATGATATTTGCATGTTTGTCTTCATCTTAATGGCCATTTCTTTGTGTAGATTCTTGTGGCATTTGGACACATTTTGATGCATTTGTCTTTGTTCCCTTTTAGGTACACAATCATCCCAGAGACTGTTCATGTTCATGTTCATGTTTCCTGAACCCATAACCTTTAATTTGTTTACAAAATCGATGCAAAGTTGGCTAAGGTAAAGAGTTCCCTGATGATTAGTAACTATTTTAGTACAAGTTGAACTTGAATGGTTTACCACTTTACCTTATCATATGTACCCCACCCCACACCTTCACCCCTCAACTTTTTATAATTTGGGCACTGCCACATGGGGATAGTGCTGATGATATCTGGCTGTCCAAGAGTACTCCAAGCTTGTGTTGTCTTTATTTCCCATCAATAAAGTGTTCTCAAGTGGAATAATGAATACAAATTTATGAGAAAATGACTACATACCTAATAGAAATATAAAATAAAGTGTTAATCATAAAAATGATAAAAACAAAATAGAAAACTTAATCTCAATGCAATCACAATTCTATTATTTTCATTAAATAACCATTTATTTCATGTAGTCGTATGCACCACCGTATTATTCCTAAGACATTTTTTTGTGAAATTTACTTTTTCGGTATTCTTTTTTTGCAAAACATAGAATTTGTGAAATTGGGTAAAATTAATAGTTTTATAGAGCCATCAGAATGGTCCTTACTTACGTACCTTGCGTAAGGATGATGTGGCCGTGCTATGTAGTAATAGGCGTAAATGTGGTGTGGAGTGAAGCCACTTAACAAAGCTTCACAGAAGCTTTTTTTTTTCTCTCTTTTTCTTATATTTTTTATATATTAATGGTTTTATAAATAATGTTTCACTTTTCATTACTTGAATAACAAGCAAATTAATGAGTTTTTGAGATTTACACTCTATGTAGTTCGTACATCCTGTGCAACTACGAGAACAAATGTTGATTTAACCTATAGATTGCCATCTTGTAAACTACACACAACACATGCATGCACATAAGCCACTGTTGTAAATTTTTTTACTATAAACCGTTCTTTTATTAAGGTGCTGTTTGTTTTTCCGAAACAAAAATTCAAAAAGTCTGCGGACCATCTCTGTAAACCTCTGCAGCAGAAGAGGTGGACCAAATGGTTGCATGCTGTAATAAGAAACATGTTTGTTTTTGCTAACATCTGCAGACTGCTGCAGACATTAAAAATTCAAAATAAACTAATTTAAAAAACAACATTAGAATGAATTAACTTATGTAAATCAAATGGGAGAAAACAGTTAAAGGGATATAAATTTAATGTATTAAATGTTAAAGGGATGAAAATAGAATATAATATATAAGTAAAGGACCATAAACGTAATATTAAATATACTTCATGGACACTTATTTAAAAAACAACACACGTGGTTGTTAGATTTTTGGAAAAAAAATGGCCGATTGTTTTTTGGGATTGGATTTTTTTAGGTTTAGGTTTGAAGGGTGGGAAGAGGTACAACAAGTGCTTCCTCAAGAAGCACACGGGCAGATGTTTTAAGCCTCAAGACTTCCGAAAAACAAACTGCTGCGGGACAAAAAGTGTTGCGCGTGTGCTGCGCCGCGCAGCAATAAGAGTTTTGAAGAAGTTTTTTTAAGAAAAACAAACAACACCTAAGTATTGAAGCATATAATATTTATCACATATTAATTATATGTGGTTTTTAGTTGTTGCTTTAAGAATGTATCTTATATTGGTAGGTGAAAAAACTTTTGGACGTTCAAATCTCATTCAAAATATTTGAAAGTAATTTAAAGGGAACTAAAAGATAGCTAGACTAGTGTACTTTTTTTGGCAATTATTATATAGTTAAAGTACTATATACGAGTATTAATTATCAAAGATTAGCACATACAAATCCTTAAATTTTGGTCCTCACGTTTCTTGAACTATTGCACCATTTCATAAAGGTTGCAAATGTTGAGATTTAGTGTTATAAATACCAACCATTGCACCAATTTATGATAGGTTGCAACTAATACTTTTTCGATATATAATGTTGCTGATTTTATTGTCACCAAGACATTTTGTATAGTTGGAAGAAGAATATGTATTTCATGCTGATCACTCTAAAGGCAACATGTGTGCTGACTACTCCAAGACCACTTAAACCAGATGAAGGTGTTGATGAGACACTTGAAGAGACTAGGAAGAGGCAATAATAGGACAACGATGACTACATCTGCAAATGTAACATCTTGAACCTTATGTCTGATGCTCCATTTGATATCCATGGTGATGCTTTAACTGCAAAGGATTTGTGGGACACCCTTGAATTGAAATACATAACTAAGGACGCTTCTAGCAAGAAGTTTCTGGTTAGTGACTTTAATAACTTTAAGATGGTCGATTCAAGGTCTGTCACTAAACAATACAATGAACTCCTTGGTATTTATGGGCAATTTAAACTGCACAATATGAATATAGATGAATCCATTGTTGTGTCAAGTGTAATTTACAAACTTCAACCATCTTGGAAGGATTTCAAACATAACCTAAAACATCAAAAGGAAGAACTGTCATTGGTTCAACTTTCTAGTCATATTCGTATTGAAGAATATCTTCGTACGAAGCAAATTGACAA